GACTAGTTTGGAAGCTTTAATTTTGGACTGAGCTCAACCAAGAAAGGGATCTTTTTGCTAAACATTTTCTCCAGAAAAATCAGGTCAGTCAAAATGATCTTCAATATGCATAAATTGAGGTATTTTAAAAGTTTTACCAATTTTCCAAGCCTCACATGATTAAGAAGAATATTTCAAGACTTCTAACCAGGAAAGATATGCAGTTTACTAGCCCTTCTTACCCGCAAATTTTGAAAAATTCTAAAAAAACATTTTCTTATTTTATAAACTTGTATGTTTATCAATGGCTTATATAGTTTATGATCTTTCTTCTGCTAATTATTATAATTTAGGCTAAACCTTATATTGACATTGATTATAAAAGAGGTACATATCGTATTTGTTCAAATCTCTTTTATAACAGGTCTGGTTTGAAGGTCTGCGTAAAATAACACTGAACACAAAAGCAAATAATGTTTGTCCCATGACACAGTTAAAAAAACAGTAAGTAATGGCTTGATTTATATATACCACAAGACTTGCATATAATCAATCATAAAAACAAAAATTGATCCAAATTTTTCTTTTAGCCATAATTAATTTGTTAATGTATAATTTATCAATTATCAATCTCTTATTTGGTCATCCTCTTAAAAACTAAGAGTGATTAAAACAAGCAAGTAGCAATATTTATAAGTATATCATTTTTACACATTATTTTCATAAGTTTATATGCACTAGAAGTTTTTTCATCATTAAAAAAAAGTTTGGAAGAATGTATTTTTCATTAGTCTATATATAATGTTTTATTGTTTTGATTAGTTGGATAAAACTTTGCTGCATGGTCAACCCTAGTGGGAAAATTCCAGTCAGGGGGTAAGTAAGAAGCTGATATAAGGTATTATACAAAATGGTTTCTCTCTCTATCTGTGCCTTTAGATCAGGGGGTCTCCAAACTACGGCGTGCGGCCCGCATGTGGCCCGCGACACCCTCTCATGATGCCCGCGAGACCTTTTTGTCTACGGAAAAAATTACGGAAATTTACGTGTATCCTGCCAAGATCAGACAACGCTTACGTGGACGTTATGTTTTTACCAAATTAAAATAGAGGCGCGGAGTAGTGCGTTATGTTTTCTAACCGATCATGACTTGGCAAAACCTTATTCGCTGCTTAGTTTTTCTACTTCCGTTCACAGTCAATGAGATAATATAACGCCATCTAGTGGCGGAGCTTTGCCCGCTTTGCTTGCCCTGTTGCAGACATGGGTGAAAACAATGTGACTCAAATAGTGAAAAATGCAAGCAAGTTTCACCAATTTTTAATTGCAATGGACAGCTGTTCCACCTCTCAACTGCATGTGATCATTAGGGGGTGTTGGATGAAGACATGAACGTAACTTAAGAGCAGGCTTCCCAAATAGCATGCACGGAACGGTTACCGATGAGCTGAAAAAAATATTTGCTGATTATAAGTTGGACTGGACTAACCTCAGTTGCCTGACTATTGACGGAGGAAATAACATGAGTGGCATAAAGAAATGCTTGGTTGGACACGTGAAGCAGATGTGTAATTATAAAAAAATTCTGCAACCAATGGTCCTGCACTGTAATATTCACCAGAAAGCTTTGTGTGCTAAATATGTGGACATTAGCAGTATGATGAATCCAGTGGTTAAGAGGGTTAATTGAATAAGGTCACATGGGCTCAACCATAGACAGTTCAGAGACATGTTGAAAGATACAGACACAGAATCGCAAAATTTACCACATTATACTTTCCTAATTTCAAAACTTTTGCATCAAGGTACCTTTCAATCTCTGGAACAACATGCCTGTGTGAACAAACATTTTCAAGAACGAAATACGTGGAGAACAATTTGAGAACTAACTTGTCAGATGATAATCTCAGGTCACTTTTGATGTTAAAGACATTAAATCTAAAACCAGAAATGTCTGCTAATCACTGCTATTTTGGCATCCAGGAAACAATTTAAACATTCCAACTAATATAGGTGTTCATGTGTCGTGTATCAATGAGTTATTAAATAATAACTGAATGAAACAATATTACATAAATAATTAAAAATGACGTCCATGTTTTGATTTTTTTTATTTGGACCTATAGTGTGTAATCGGTCCCCGAACTGCTGTTCGATAGTTAATGCGGCCCTCAGGCTGAAAAGTTTGGAGACCCCTGCTTTAGATCATGGAGATTTCTTATTTTAATTAATGCCTATTGTAAATAACTATAGTTGTAATAAAAAATAAAATAGTATAATAAAAGATACAAAAAAATTGAGTTTGGATATAAAAAAATATTTTGAAGAGAAGACATTCTAGAAGGCCTGGGAAGAGAACCCAGATGAAGCCATGTGCGATGAAAGTGATTGTAAACATATTGAAATACTTCTTACAGAATTACAAGAACATTTGCATCTGGCAAAACAGAGAAAATGGTCATGTCCAGCTTAAAAGATCTTGGGCTTCCTAGTGGAAAGGTAATTTAGCGTAATTTAGGGTTTATCTTGGTCGGTGGGGCAGGTTAAATATGTGTTAATATATTGTTTTCTCTTGGTTATACTTGTATATTTCCCCCATAAAGGAGGATGAACAAAACAAATGCACTATTTACATTCGAACTGAATATCAAGCTGTATGGAGTTGCTGCCTTTAATTGTCTCAACTTACATACATATTGGCTCTCTTAATGACCAAACATACACAACTTATCTTGGGGGACTTATCTTGTTGTTTCACTGCTGCCTTCAATTGTCTCCAATTACAAACACATTGGCTCACATAATGACCTTACATTTCCCCTCATATTGTGCACTGCTGCCTTCCATTGTCTCAACTTACATACATATTGGCTCACATAATGAACAAACATTCACCACTTATCATGGAGGACTTATCGTGTTGTTTCACTGCTGCCTTCAATTGTCTCTACTTGCAAACACATTGGCTCATTTAATGACCTAACATTTACAACTTATCTTGTTGTTTCACTGCTGCCTTCAATTGTCTCCACTTATAAACACATTGGCTCACATAATGACCTAATATTCACCACTTTTCTTGGGTGGACTTATCTTGTTGTTTCACTGCTACCTTCAATTGTCTCCACTTACAAACACATTGGCTCGCATAATGACCTAAAATTTCCCCTCATATTGTGAGGGACTTTCTTGTTGTTTCACTGCTGCCTTAAATTGTCTCCACTTACAAACACATTGGCTCACATAATGACCTAACTTTTCCCCTCATATTGTGGGGGCTTATCTTGTTTTTTCACTGCTGCCTTCAATTGTCTCCACTTACAAACACATTGGCTCACATAAAGACCTAAAATTTCCCCTCATATTGTGAGGGACTTTCTTTTTGTTTCACTGCTGCCTTCAATTGTCTCCACTAACAAACACATTGGCTCACTTAATGACCTAACATTTCCCCTTATATTGTGGGGGACTTTCTTGTTATTTCACTGCTGCCTTCAATTGTCTCCACTTACAAACAAATTGGCTCACTTAATGACCTATCATTTCCCCTTATATTGTGGGGGACTTTCTTGTTGTTTCACAGGGTGATGAGATTGACCCTGTCCTCTTCACATTTGACAAGTTTTATGAACTCTATCACATGATATGTCCCCGCTCAGATATAGAGGAACTCTTTAGAGATTTGTAAGTAACCATTCCTATCATATTTCAAGTATGACTCAAATGGAGGAGTTACTTGAAGATTTGTTAGAAACAATTTGTGTATATAAAGCAATATAGGTGAAGCTTTAATAATGGCTACACAGAATACAAATACAAACGTTTGGGCAAATGCCTTCATCATTACATCAAGAAACATTCATACAAGTATAAATTAAATTATATAATAGGGAATATGTGCCCATTCTTATTATTTTCTTTCATTTTTAGGTGAGAATTATAAATGAATCGGGTACTCTAATGCTTGGGGGCCATAATGGTGATGAAAGGTTGATATGCAAATAGAGGGTACTGGATACATATTTAGTCAGATCTTCTTAACCACTTCATTACCGCTGACGTCGACACGACAACGTCACGATCACCCACTTTCAATTACCAAGGACGTCACATTGTCATCATAACAAAGAGGCGAAGCACTTTTCCGAATTACCGAGGACGTCACGTCGACGTCATGATTTCAATGCTATATATTTCTTTTATTCTTTAATCTAGAGAGAAGTTAATAAGCGAATCGGATAGAGAATGAAAAATACCGAAAGTTTCTTCTTTGAGTTTTTAACTGCATGCATTTACATTAACATTAATTACGGTGAGTTAGTGCATTTTTACATCCAACGCTATCCTAACGATCGTCATGGACCAATCTGAACCAAGCACATCAAGTGCAAAAAGAAAAAGAAATACTTTTTTTGACCTTCCAAGCATTTTGCAGATTTTACAGAACGATAGTGAATCTGATGATCAGTTATCTCTATATTCTGAATCAGGTTCAGAATATGTTTACTCTGGGACAGAATTAGACTCTGATGTTAGCAAAGAACCAGTAAAAAAGCAAGCAAAAAAAGATAGGCCTATGAATGAACCGACATCTACTTCAAAAGGTACTTTTATTATTTGTGTATGTCTCTGTATATTATAAAATGGTTTATTTGTGCTCTTTGCATTACAGAATTTACTTAAGTCTCATAGTTTACTTTTTTACATTTACGTCTATTCTAGTCTATATTTTTTTCCCCTAATAGGTCAATATCAAGGAAAGGGAAAAGGAAAGAAAAAGAAACAAAATGTCAATGAAGAAGAACCTAGTCATTTGTTTGGTACTGGAAATGAAATGAGGAAGAATATGCAGATGAAGAACTAGTTCCAGCCAATTGTGAATGGAGGCGAGTAGTCCCAAATAATTCAGTGGCAAATCCTAATTGGCCTGAATTTGCTGTTCAGTCTGGTCTGCTTTTTGATGCTACTGGCTTTCAGAGTCATGATTTTATGTAGCGATATCTGGACACTTTTAGGAGCTTTTAGTTTTAGAAAATAACAGAAAAGCCTCACAGCTCAAAAATGTTGAAAAGACAGATGGTAAAGAAAGAGGATCCTCTATCTGGGTGAATATTGACTTTATTGAGATGAAGAAGTTTATTGGCTTATTACTTTTAATGGGCATTGTTCACAAACCCTGTTATCTAGACTATTGGAGTAAAGATACTCTATTATCTACTCTCAGCTGTCATGAGCCGCAACCCCTTTTTGAAAATGAGCCTCCACATACGGCTGCTGAAAGAGACAGATTATATGAAATTAGACCTTCGTTGACTCATTTCAATACAGTGTTCCAGCAAGCTTTCTGCCCTAATAGGGATATTTGCATTGATGAATCTTTGCTGCTGTGGAAGGGCAGATTAGTTTTCAAACAGTATATACCCCTCAAAAGGGCTAAGTTTGGAATAAAGATTTTTTGTTTGTGTGATAAGTTCGGCTATCTGTATCGCTTTCGTGTGTACACTGGAAAGCAGGACCCACTTTACAACATAGACAACTATGTCTCAGAGGAGTGTCAACAACTGTCAATGACTTCTAAGGTAACCCTGGAGCTTCTGGCTCCATTTCTAAACCAAGGCTACCACCTTTACATTGACAACTGGTACAACTCTGTACCTCTCATCAGGTTTCTTTTACAAAAACAAATCCTATGTACAGGTACAACTCATAGCAATAGAGTCCCTAAGGAGCTTACATCCATCCCAGCAAAGAAAGGGGAAACAGTTTCAATCATATCGGGGCAGTTACTCGCCGAAAAGTTCTTGGACAAAAAGACTGTCTATATGATAAGTTTTTTTTCAGCAGAGACTGCAAAGAAAATGCACAGAGGTTAAATCGAAATTGATTTGCCAGTTTCAGTTCAACATTACAACCAAGGAATGGGTGGTGTTGACAGACTGGACCAGGCCCTGGAACCAATCAGTGCAGCAAGACAAACACGTCAGTGGTATGTCAAGCTAGGTGTACATCTCATTCAACTAGCCATTTTAAACGCTCACCACCTTAACAAGCAATTTGGTAACCAAAAGACCTTCCTTCAGTTTAGCATCCAGTGCATAAGACATCTCATCTTCCAAGGAAGGGACACCATCATTTCTAAAAACCCTAGATCAAAGGAACAACATTTCATTTACCAGCTCCCTGCTACAGGTCAAAAGGCTAATCCCCACAAAAGATTTAGTTTTGCCACAAAAAGGGCAATCGTTGTTAGTCAAGATACTACTGTCCGAAATGCCCAGGCCAACCAGGACCTTGTATTGGGCGATGTTTTGAACTTGACCACACAAAACAGTAGCGATTCAGGCTCCAACAGATGACAGTGACAATTTGTTTATTTACATTTTATTAAAACTTTCAATATTTTTATAATCAAACTCTGGGTTTTTTTTCTTTTTTTCTTGTTTTTATTTCTAGAATAGGTTTTTCCACAAAATTTTGGTGGTCATTGTGACCCCCATGACCTTGACCTTTTATGACCTTAACTGGAATATTCTAAAACTTTATTCAAGCTGAAGTTTATTAGTCATATACTTATGATAGGTTTCCTTGAAAAGGGAAAAAGATATACAAATTTTCAAACATGACCATAAAGAAACTCCAAATAGTGCTTGGTATTTCAATGTTGGTGCAAGGCAAAAAAATTGCAGAGTCAGCAAAAATCGATGTCCATAAAATATGTCCCGCTGTTTTTGACCATTTTTAACTTCACCCTCCCCCTGTCACAAACTGTCACAAATCTCGGACTCCCCCCCCCCCCTAAAGTACGTCACACTATCAAACAAAATTTTTTAAAAATTAACACCTAATTAAAATTTAATCTACAATACACTTCACTATTAAACTATATTAAAATGTAAAATTTCCACTTAATTTCAACTATCACATTATTAAAATGACTTTAATAGTAGAATAGTTAATTGTCAACAGTTGTCACAGTTATTCATTGAAGCAGTAACTCAATCTAGATTGAATTTAAAAACAAAAATTGCAAAAATTAGACTAGACAATTATATAATACACATCATTTATCTGCTGCTTTTCATTTACAATAGGTGAGATCAAGCTTTAGATAATCTTCCGATTATGCAATCTTTTTACACAGGTTAAGAAGTATATTAGAGAAACTTGACCTCACCAAATCATTAAATAATAAAAGGACAGTGACAAAATATGCAGCGGACAACATAGAAATAGTAATAATAATAATAATACGTGGTCTCATATAGCGCGGGGCTGGGCTCACTGCGCTGTACATAAATATAGCAAAGAGGCATAATCATAATATTAAAATAAAATACATAAATGAAATGAAAACAACATATAAGCAAAACAACACCAGAGGTATATTCACCCACCCACACCAGAAATTTTACAAGGAAACCCATGTACATTTATCGGTTTATAGGAGGGGAATCAGTCAGGGTAGTATAGTTTAAATAGATGTGTTTTGAGTGCAGTTTTGAAGGCCTGTGTGGTTGTTATATTGCGGATGTGTAGTGGCAAAGAATTCCATTGTTTGGGGGCGCAGAAAGAGAAAGATCGTTCACCATATAATTTAGTGCGTGTCTTGGGAACGGACAGAATACGCGAGTCTGCGGATGAGCGAAGTTGTCGAAGGGGTGAATAGACAGAAAGAAGTTCAGTTAGATAGGAAGGGCAGGAATCCGAGAAAAAGTTGTGACAGAGAACAGACAGCTTGTAGTCAATGCGTGCCTGTATAGGGAGCCAATGTAGTGAGTGGAGTAGTGGAGTGACGTGATCGCGTTTTTTTGCCTTAAGAACAAGCCTAGCAGCAGAGTTTTGAACTTTCTGCAGTTTTTCTATGAAATGTTTCGGTGAACCTGACAGAAGTGAGTTGCAATAGTCAAGACGAGAGAGAACAAGAGCACAGACTAGAGTTTTTGTTGCGCTAACTGTCAGGTAGTGGCGGATGGAGCTGATCTGACGGATGGCGGTGTATGCTGAACGACAAATGTGAGAGATATGTTTATCGAGAGACATGTTGTTAGAAAGAATATAACCAAGATTCCTAGCAGAGGGTGTAAACTGTATGTCGGAGTTACCTACTTGAAATGAGGTGGGAAGAGTTGAGGTAGAGGATGATTTGTGATTGTAAATGAGGAGTGCTTCTGTTTTGTCATCATTAAGCTTCAACTTGCTGAGTGTCATCCAAGACTTGACATCATCAAAGAAAAAGTTGTGACAGAGAAGAGACAGCTTGTAGTCAATGCGTGCCTGTATAGGGAGCCAATGTAGTGAGTGGAGTAGTGGAGTGACGTGATCGCGTTTTTTTGCCTTAAGAACAAGCCTAGCAGCAGAGTTTTGAACTTTCTGCAGTTTTTCTATGAAATGTTTCGGTGAACCTGACAGAAGTGAGTTGCAATAGTCAAGACGAGAGAGAACAAGAGCACAGACTAGAGTTTTTGTTGCGCTAACTGTCAGGTAGTGGCGGATGGAGCTGATCTGACGGATGGCGGTGTATGCTGAACGACAAATGTGAGAGATATGTTTATCGAGAGACATGTTGTTAGAAAGAATATAACCAAGATTCCTAGCAGAGGGTGTAAACTGTATGTCGGAGTTACCTACTTGAAATGAGGTGGGAAGAGTTGAGGTAGAGGATGATTTGTGATTGTAAATGAGGAGTGCTTCTGTTTTGTCATCATTAAGCTTCAACTTGCTGAGTGTCATCCAAGACTTGACATCATCAATGCACCCCCGCAAAGTCTGGACAGCGGAATCAACAAGAGATGGATGGGTATGCATGTATAGCTGCAAAATGTTGTCTTCAGGAAAGACGAAAGCAAGGCTATACATAAAACAAGGCTTCGCAACAGCATACTAGCGCTCCTAGCGAAAGGAATCGTGATTAACACATTCAGGAGATACGCATTCCATGCTATTTTGACATAAAACTAATTCAAATGATACACAAAATTTTTGAAAATTATTTTTAAAGCTTTTAAATTCCATAAAAAAATAAAAATAAATTAGAAATATAATTTAAACAAATTAAATGTATGACGGCACAGATGGCCTGACCCCGCTGTTACAAACTGTTACACTTTCTTACACCCCCTCCCCCCATTTGGAGCGTGACGTACTTTATGGATGGCCCCCAATGAAGTGGTTAAAGTAGTAGTCCTCTGTTGTGAGTCAGAAAAATTTTTTTTTTAAATATTGAACATGAAAATAGACCATAACCAATAATTGAGTGCTGTTACCTGATATAATGTGGATAAGTTCCTGCTGGACTGTCATTGTGAACATGTTGGTGGCACTGCCCTATGAAATATGATGTGATATCAATCTTTTTTTTTCCTCAAAATTTTGAGTTTGAAAAAATTGTTTACAACATACCTAATTCTCTAACAAATTTCATCCATTAAAGTTGTAAATTAAATGCCCTATTATGGGGTTGACATGTTTAAAGAAAGAAAACTCAATTTTATTTGTGCATATTTTTGTATAATAAATTTGCACCGTTTATTGTCATTCTCTAATAATTTCTGCAGAGCTGATATGAACACTAGTTTAGTCTTGACATACAGATATGAACTTATCACTAATTTGTTTTTTTCTTTTACATTTTATTTAGCTGTAAAAAGAGAAAATATACTTTTTTATGCAAGCAATCTGTTTAAGTAAGTTTGTAAGTTTATTTAAAGACATTTTAATATTTTATAAACTTAAATTGCATTGATTTAAAAGGGAATGTTTTTTGATTTTATATAATTTCACAGATCACAGAATCGGTCTTTCCTCGATATTCCTAAGTTGATTGAGTTCTTTAATGATGTAAGTTGATAACTCAATGCTCACGTAAAAATAATTATATTTAAACACAGACCCAATGCAGGGATTTAAAAAAAAAAGGATTTTGGTACTGTGTATTTGCTGATATATGCATTGTAAAATACAATAAAATACACAATAAGACAAAACTTTACATACAAACAGTAAATATGTCTGTTTTTGAATTTTTTATTAACGATTTTCTATTTTGTCTTTTCAAAATGATATATTAAGAAAAAATTTACATGCCACCAGTATGCTACAGAAAAATAATGTCTGTAGAATGTTCAACATATTACTGATTCTCAGTTTTAGTCTATTTCACACTGACATCTTGCATTAATTCCCTCCTCCGTGTTTGATTTAAATTTGAAATCAGCTTTCTCTTTGACACTGTCATCCTGAAATGAACAAAACATTTATTCATATAGCCAGGCATTCAAATAGTGTTATAACTCCTTGACATCTGTAACTGTTTTGCCAGAATGAAAGTCATCATACTAATTATAGTTTTGATCAATACAATATTTTCTGCACTTTGTCATTTCTTGAGAATATCATATTTAAAAGGCTTGATTAAGTGAAATGATCTCTATCTGTTAAAGGACATAAGATTTAAATCTTCCCTATCTTTAATGGTCATCTATTTTATTTCATTTAGAGACAAAGAGATCCCAGGCTGAATGAAATTCTCTTCCCATTTTATAACCATACCAGAGTGAAAAACATCATACAATCATATGAGACTGATCACGCATATCTTGAAAAAGGTATTCCAAATGAATAACTTTACTTGAAAACTCTTGGCAACTAAAACTTAGAGCAAAAAATAAAAATAACAAAATAAAGCAGGCTACAATTAAAATGACTTTGAATTTTGGATTAAATTTTGACTTGTATAAACGCTTATCAGAACAAAAAAATGTGTGGAAAAAGTCATTAGGAGCAGTCCAAATCAATAAAATTGGAAATAAATATTGTAGCCTACAAATTGTAGAGAATCAAAAGAAATTGTTAAACCTCATACGTTCATTTAATCTACTATAAAACTCAGATTGGCTCAGCCAAGATGGCTTCTGTCGATACTTGATGTCCGATGAAAATGCCCCCGTCTTCCTTGACCGACTCGACATCTACATGGACATGGATCAGCCCTTGGCTCATTACATCATCAACTCTTCCCATAACACGTACCTGACAGGTCGACAGTTTGGTGGGAGGTCATCTGTGGAGATGTACAGACAAGTAT